TTTCCCTGCTCACGAAGCGAAAGTTCCCGGCGCCAATGGAATCCGGCTCCCCGCCCTTTTTGTTCCCACCAAACGTGTGTGTTTGCTCAGCGTTCCTACCGACTGTGTGTGTGTGTGTATGTGTGAACGGGATGTCTTTGGAACGTCATGTGTTGGTGCAAAGAGGGAAAGGGGAGCATGTGGAAGAAGCTCCGGGGCTCGGAGGGGGAGCCGTCCTAACCTGTCGCCATAAAAACAACCAAGAGATTCCTGGTACTTGGAAAACTAACGCGGTTTATTCGGCATCAGCTCCAGCGGTCTGCAACCCCTTTTCGTGGAAAGGGAGCGTTGGGACCCGCAGCAGATGAAGACCCGCAGAACGATCCGAGGCCTTGCCTGCTTCCAAGAGAGACCCACGGCGTTGAAGAGGCCCCGGTCATTTTCTTGAATAGCCCTCCCCCACGTGAAGCTCAATACAGTACCACCCAGTGGCTTAGCTTAAGGCCTAAACGCAACGTTCTGGGGGGATTTTTCACCGTGTCTTCTCTCCCCCTCCTTCTNGAAGCTGGCAGGGCGCAACAGCTTGGACTTCTGCGCAGGGAAGACATAAAAAGGGCTCCGAGCTTGTTAAGGTGTTTTGATTTGGTTAAAGGTCGTAATTCTGGCATTTGGTGGTTTGCTATTAAAAACTCGTTTCGGGAGGCAGATCGAACCCCAGAAGAAACTCCTAGAGCTGGGGCTGATAATAATAATAATAATAATAATCTGCACCAGCACAGAATTTTTGAACGTACATAAGGTGCGTGCTGACGCACACAACGCTTCCATCTCCACTAAGGCAGGTTCCTGTATTCCTGGCCGCGGGGGGGGGGGAACCAAGAGAATAGACAGGTCGTCCCCCCTCCCATACCCCCTTCTGAGAATTTGTCCGAAGTGAGATCTCAATCGTATGTTGAATTCGACTTCCTCCCTCCCTTTTCCTGTATGAACGTACATAAGGTGCGTGCTGACGCACACAACGCTTCCATCTCCACTAAGGCAGGTTCCTGTATTCCTGGCCGCGGGGGGGGGGGAACCAAGAGAATAGACAGGTCGTCCCCCCTCCCATACCCCCTTCTGAGAATTTGTCCGAAGTGAGATCTCAATCGTATGTTGAATTCGACTTCCTCCCTCCCTTTTCCTGTATATATAGGAACACACACACACAGGGTGTTAGAGATGGAGGCGTGGACGCGGTGCATGAGATTCGAGCCTGCGGCCCCCAGCCCCACCCCGCATCTGTCCATTCCCAAAGAAGACCAGAACTGGGTGGCGCGGGTGGCCCCAGAAACGCTGCTCCGGGAGAGCAGAGATGAGGCGCGCGACCCTGCAAACCTCAGGCTGGTGAAGAAGAAGAAGAAGAAGGGGGAAAAGCTCGCGAAAGCCGAATTGGTTCAATTGGCCCTTGGAAGCCAAATGCAAAACCGATTCCCCGTGGCGTCCCATCCACTCGAGGACTTGGGCTGGGGTTCTCTCCACGGAGAAATCTGCCCGTATTCCGCCAGGATGGGTCGCGGCGCACGGGTTTTGATCCCCGTCCCCACACCCAAGATTAAAGGAATGTAGCACTGGAGACGCTTCTTGAGAAGAAGGAGGGCAGGTCATCTCGGGCACCCAGTTTAGAACCATCTAGCAGGGCGGCGAAGAAGGAGACGGGAAGGAGGAGAGGAAGAGAAGGTTTCCCGAAAGCTAAGCCAGAGATGCCCAGGGCGAGTTAAAAAGTGCGCCCCCGATCCCTAGCGCGCTCCTCACAGCACCTGGGGAAAATAGGAGGGGGGGGCACACAGAGGCGGAAAGGACAAACCCGGGCTGGGGGCAGGGTGAGGGGGGGGGAAGAGTGCGCGAGAACCCCTGACACGCGTTGCGTAATCCAGAGGTGATGCCTTTGACCCGAGGCCTGCTAGATCCGACCTCGGAAAAATCCCCCTTTTGGACTAGAGCATCCAGAATCCTTCCGCTGTGTGCCACTGGAAGTCTGCCACGGTGGGCTTCAAGCCGTGTCCCAGTCCCAGCCTCGTGGACTCCCCCCCCCATTTCTTCCTCCTCGGCGGCCAGCTACCGGATTCGGCCCGCGGGGCCTGGCCTTGGCCGACCAGCAGGAAGGTGGTGAGGGAACTCCTTGGGTGGAGTTCCGGACCCAGAGGAGAACCGGATCAAGGCAGGACAAGTTTGCGGGCTGCTCGCTCTCTCCGGTTGGCGTCCCTTCTGGAAGGCCCCTGCGGCTCAGCCCTGGAGCCATTCGGCACCCACAGGAATGCGTCTCCCCTCGGCTCGCAACCTCTCCGCCCGCCCCACCTCCCCGGCTACACGCTCCCTGCTGGCTACCGGGAGGGAGGGACACGTCAGCGTACGGTACCGTCTCCTTAGACTTATAAGAGCGGCCACCGCATGAGAGATGGGTACGGAGATTAAAAGATACGGAGACTCTGGGATCGCTCCATTTAATCATTTCTCCCGTCATTATCGCTTCGCCTGCCGTGAAGGCGAAGGAAGACGAGGTCATGAGGACTAGCGCCATTTTTAGCAAAGAGGCAGGGCGCGGCAAGCGAGCCCCAGAATGCCACAGAAAGAGTCAGAAATACCGAAAACCATCGGCAAATTTGGTGCAGGGCGGTCTCATTGGAAAACACGCGCCCCTGGAATGACAAAGCCGCACAGTCCCAGAGGAAACCAGCCGCCGCCGAGGTCAAGATGGAGCAGATCTCAAACAAACAAACGGACCCAACGCGGGGTGCTGCTTTGATCGCGTTAGAAAACGTGTTACACTCTAACCCTGCATTTATGCTCCTCTTGCAAAGCCACGAAAATTCCCTCGAGCACAACGCATACGTAGAATGCCACACAGAGAAGCAGAGCCAGAAAGGCAGAAAGAACCCAAGTCACCCGAACAGTTATTTAAATGGAAAGTCGGCCACCGTAAAGGTTAGGGTTGAATCGTTTGACGAATCGGAAAATGACCCTAACGCTCAGCCGGTCAAACTCTGCAGAAGAGACACCTGTTCTGTTAAATGCCCTGGAAGCGACCAAAAATTTAAAAAAAAATTTAAAAATACAGTAAAGAGGTGAACAGCGAATATTGAGAGAGCCCTGTGCAGAGGGGGAGTGAACAATATTGCAAGATGTGTCGCGTATGGCTGTACAGTACAAATAAATAATATATAGCCGAATTCGATTTTCACTTTTTTTTAACGAAACAGTTCTGATTCAGTTCCTCATTAAAAAAAATTATTAAGATGAAGGACAAACACGCAGAGGGGAAAAAAAGAAAACAAGAAAGAAAGGGAGAGCAGAAGGGAAGGGGGAAAGGATTAAAGATTAAAGACAGTACATTTTCTCGCGGCTTCCCGGCATGCCTTTTCAGGTTTTGCTTCCAAACCCTGAAAGCTCTCATACGCAGCTCGTGGGTAAGAGGAGTTCAATATGATTTTTTAAAAAATGTTTCCCCCCCCCCTTTAAATGTTCTAATCCTCTCTTTAAAATAACATTAAACCCCTCTGTGTCATTCACTGCTACTGTTTCATGGGGAGAACCCGCAATGTTGAGATCGCAGATTTTTAGACAGGCGCCAAAGTCGGAGAAACAGTTCCAACACCAAAATAAGGCTAGGGAGTTTTGGAAACGTATTGTGGATCTAGAACCTTTTAAAATCCAATTTTAGGACCAAAAAAGCCAACATGGTTTCAGTCATTATCATCATGTTTTTGTATGGGGACGGATTATTATTATAATTCCCATCACCTTTATTAATATTTTCAGGCCACAGTAAAGCCAAAATTCGGGGGAAGACATCACACCCTATTCCAACGTGTATGCACACCTCCTTTACTCCGCGGCTCGGATGCGTCGCGGAAACGCCCCCCCCCCTCCGATCGGCTCCGGGATTTGGTCCAGAATTTAATTTCGGGGATGGATCGGAACCAAAGAGGTTTTCAACGCGGGGAACGGAAACGTTCAGCATCGCTTTGCCAACCCTGATCTCTGTTTAAAACACTTGGTCTAAGGACCTGAGAACCTCCACTTCTGTTTAGCAGATTGCCTTTGTTTTCAACGCAGTCAATAGGATAAGGCGAACCCCTCCCGTTCCACCCACCCCCACCCCCGTCCTAATGCTCTGTCCTATCTAGGAGCTCCTTTTGAAAGAAATGTAAATTGTACAATTAGCTGATGGGTTTCTCCCAGATAATTGCTTATATTGTAGAATTCAGGAGGTGGAGCGAAAGGGAAGCGCACAAGACAATTCTTTCTGCTGTTACTGGTGTGTGTTGGGGGGTAGATCGTCATTCTCTCCCTCCTCTCGTTCCTTTTGATCTCTTACGTTCCTTTTCTTGGGAAAGTTACATCCCCGTTGAGAAGCTCGCTGGCTTTGCTGAAAAAGGACAAACCGCCTTTAACCCTGAGAGATCTAATAATCCCGTCTTCCCCCTTTTTCAGCGGAATCAAACCTCTGAGTTTTTGACAGCCTTCCCTCACCTACATGAGAACTATTACCTGCGATCCTACCTCCAAGTTGCGTCTACTCAGAAGTGAGCCTCATTCAGTTAGAGGAGCTACTCCCTCAACGAGTGTGCATAAGATGGCAAGCTCCCAATAAGTAGTGACAGCATTTGGTATTTTAATTTTTTTTTTTAGTCGCTGGAGGCAAGGATCTTATCCCCTCTTTCTCTTTATTGGACTGTAATTTGTAGAACTTAACTTACGTTAGTATGTGGTAAACCAGCCCTGAGTCACTTGGGAAACTCACCTCATCCTGTTACAGCGTGAGGGCTGGGACTCTTGTCCCAAAATCCTGTCCTAAGAGTACCACAGAAATTAACAGATCAAGGTAATTTGGCGATTGGGGGCAGCACAGTAGTTGAAAGATGACACACGTTAGCAGGCATCCTTCCCCCCCCCCCCTTTTTTATTCCCTAAGAGGAAGGAAACCTTTCACAAGCATCTCTCTGCCCCGCCCCCTTTCTATTTCTTTTCGTGTTCTGGCGGTGGAAATAATTTTATTTATTCAGAATATACAGTTTAATTCCTCTATCTACACATATGTACAGGGTTAAAAGGACATTGCAAAAAAAGTGTCTCTGGAAAAAAGTTGAGGTCATCAGATTTCAAGGCACCTTTGAAAGTGTCCACAATTGATGAAAATAATAATAATAATAAAAAATAACCCAAAGAAATAGCAACCCCCAAGTCCGTCTGTTTTTTTTAAAAAAAACAATACACACACACACATACACACACACGCACGCACACAAAAGAGGGTGGGGGTTTCCTTTGAAATGCAATAAGTTACATGCACAAGCTTTACACGGTTCATCCTGTATAGGTTCCTTTCCTTAAAATAAAAAGAAGAAGAAGTCCCGTATGCAATTTTGTTAAGGTTCAGAACAAAAGGTCAAGAGTCCAAAAAAATAAGGTAAAGGGCCAAGGAAATACGCCTTTTGTTTTAAAGTAAAGGCAATCCTAGTCTAATAGATTGTCCCGGTCGCCAAAGCTAATGGGTGCTGTAGAGAGCTATGGGGTTGCAGGTGGGCATTGAGAACGTTACCGCCGGAGTACCAGGACGAAGAATTCTCCAGATAGCTGGAGGCCGGGGATGGATTCGAGTTCGCCCCGTGAGCGTGGGGATGGTGGCTGAGCGATCGGCCGGTGCCCTGGGGTTCCCAAACCGCAGGAGATTGTGGAGAGTTGCAAGCCATGGGGTCACTGGCGCTGGGACTGTGCTCTGGAGGCATCTCGCCGTTCTTCATGATCTTCTTGATTTTGGACCGTTTGTTCTGAAACCAGATTTTCACCTGCCAGGGAAGAACAAGAGGAACAGAAGTGAGGGGCGGCGGCGGTGGTGGTTTGGGAAGAAGGAACATAAGCCTGCTTAAGAACGCGCGTACCTCAGCATTTTGAAACACCCTTACTTGGAACGGAATTTCCCTAGATTTCTACCTTAATAGGTACTGCAAGCCTAGGCAAGTCTACTCTGAAGTAGGACTGACTGTGTTCAGTGGCCCTCGCTTCGAGGTAAGCATGCACAGGTTTGTCCGCTTTAACTTTCTCCGTCAAGGGGCTCAGGATCGCAACCACACTCCTGTCCTAGCCATGTTCCACACACAGAAGCACATACAAAACCAGCAAAGCGTCGAGGGCCATCTGCAGATACGCGCTGCCGTCCGCCAGAGTTTATGCCCGCGCAGCACATGTTCCTTTTAAAGTGCCAAAAAAAAACCCCTCTCGGTTGATTTTTGCTGCCATAGAGTAGACCTTAACGTGATAACCCCTCCAAGAACATCTTGCCGAGTCACTCTGTGGTCCCCGGTCTCCTCCCAAGTAAATGATTCTCTTCCCCCAGGAACATTGCAGGGACTTGTTTTCTAGGAACACTGCAATCCCGAACTCACTTTCACTTCCAAGTCGGAACCACTGGACACAATGACGCATCCTTCAGAGGCGACAACCATTGCACACCAAGGCGACCTTTAGAAATCAGCCTCGGAGATTAAAAGGTCGTTTTCAAAAATGAACTTAGAAGAGGAATGCACACTTGCAAGGGAGCCGCCCCCGCCCCGCCCTGCTGGTGTGTGTGGTTTGCTACGCCGCCCTTACTCGGGTGCTCCATTTTGCTTCCCACGTCGGATCGGGGCCTCTTTCCGTGTTTAAAAATACACCGCCCCTCATCCGGTTCCCTTGTTTTGGGAGACAGGGCTTGAGTTTTTCACCCTGCGGGGTCTGCCCTGCCGCGCTGCGGCTTGCGAAAGAAGGAGCAAACAGGAACAAAGGCGAAAACAGAAGGGGGAGCCGCGTGATCCCGTCGCCCGGGGGTGGGGGGGGGAGAAAGGAGTCAAACGACTTTTCCTCCAGGGTGGTTTTTGTGCGTGCGTCCTTGTCTCTGCTAGGGCCCGTTTTGTGCTCCCCCCACCTGAACCCACCTGGTTCGGAGACCATTCCCCTGCCATTCTCACGACCTCCCGCATCCAGTCCTATTTTGCGATCTCATAAGGCGAAAGATCCACCCACGTGCAGTGGCTGCTCCCAATCCCAACTCTTTTATGCAACCAGTTCGAAAGGCCCGAGGCCAGATTTGTAATAAATGCATCACAGAGAAATGAATCCTGCAAGGCTGCCATTCCGAATTGAGCCGGGCCCCTCCGTTTCCAAAAGTATATCGAGGCGGAAGTTAGCCCGAAGCGACGCAGTAGCTCTGCAGCTCTGATTTGGATCCGAAGTAATCCTCCCCCCCCCACAACTCCTGCACCAAGAGGTGAAGCCCCGGTTTGAGTGGAAGCGAAATTCACACGCGATCTTGCACAGGAAAAAAAAATCGGCAAAGAGCGATGCAGGTAAAACACCCTGAACCCCACCGCGTGCCCTAAGAGAGGCGCTTCACGTTACCCAAGGAGAAACCACCAGAATTACGCAACTGGAAAAAATTAAGAGTGAAATCAACAGGGCCCCCTTCGAAGCCAAACCAAGCCCTTCGGGTGAGAGGGATCAAAGGAGGAAGGCTCCCGATGGGCTGCCCGAGGCCGGGTGGCCTTACCTGTGTCTGCGTGAGGCCTAACGAGGCAGCCAGCTCGGCTCGTTCAGGCAGGGCTAAATATTGGGTTTTCTGGAATCTCCTCTGCAAGGCGGCCAGTTGGAAACTGGAGTAAATAGTCCTCGGTTTGCGCACTTTCTTTGGCTTGCCGTTCACCATCCGCACTTCAGGCTCGGCCACTTCTTTTTCTAAACGGCGGAAGGGTTTGGGGTGGGAAGGAAGGAAGGAAAGAAGGAAGCTTAGAACCCAAAGGAAGAGGCCAGCCCCACAGGCAGCAGCCCCACAGGGCCAGGATCTAACCCGCTGACCCCGACAAAGGAAGCAGCCTCGTTTACAAACCCTCTTTCGCGAGGTCTAGTCCGCTGAGACCCTGGCAAACTGGGCGGGGGAGGAAGAGGGATATTGACCAGCCGGAGACCCTCCTCTAGTCAATTTCACATCCGGGGGGGGGGGATGCCTGGGCCTGAGCGTTTTCTCAAGCAGCCTCCCGCGTCTTGCCATCAGGGCAGGGTTCCTTCCCAGGGAGGAGGGAGCTGGGTCTCTGGCCCAAGGTTAATTTTTTCGGATTTCATCTTCCCGTTATTGAAACCAACGCCAACAAAGTGCCCAGTGTTTCCGTGTGGGGGGGGGAATCCCGTGTCTATGGACTTTCCATTTGTAGAGAACGGGAGACAATTAGCTCCCGTCGTCTCCTCTATTTGAAGGGGAATTTTTAAACGCAACCCAGACTCCGGAGGTTGGAGACAAGCGGGGATATATCTATATATACATATTTTCTTTTTGGTCAAGATGGGAGAGAGAGAGAGAGAGGTTCAAAGTGTTTTCCCGCTCGAACCCAACACACCCGAGAAAACGGTTCCCCTTCATTTCAGCCGAAAAGCAGTCAAATCGGGGCCAGACAGAACCAGGGAAATAAAGTAATCTTGTCGCCGATCGGACTGGCAGCTGAAATGCAGAAGGATGTGGTCCGGCCGGGAAAGAGGGGAAGCGGGGGAGGGGAGAAATAGGGTCACGGATGAGCCTGGCGCTTCTTAGAAAAGCTCAGAGTCCCGCTGGCATTTTTCTTCTCCCTTGGGGGAGACGACAAATAACCCATTGCTAGAAATGGACACTGACGGAAGCACAAGGGATTTTTGAGTTGGAGGAAATCTAAAAGGATTCCCCCCCTCTCTCACACACACACTATGCAAAGACACGTGTGTGTGTGT